AACAGCTCCAGGAGAAACAGCTCCAGGAGGTGAACTCGGGGTGCTGGCTGGAAGTTTCTGACCCTTTCAGGGTTGTTCGTGATCCAACCTGCTGCCACCACCCCCTGACCCTTTACCTGCTCCTTCATGTTCTTGATCTCATCCCCGAGACATCACCCAGCCCTTTACCTGCTCTTCAGCTTCCCAATCCCGTCCCTAAAACCCCACCCAACCCTGTGAAGTGCTGAGGGTCCTTTCCCTGCTCTTCACCTTCTCAATTTCATCCCCAAGACATCAAACAACCCCTTAGGTGCTCCTCATCTCCTCAGTGTCACCCCTGAGACCCCACCCCACCCCACCCGACCCCCCTGAGGTGCTGAGGGTCCTGTACCTGCTTCTTGACGTTCTCAATCTCCACCCGCAGCCTCTGCACGTTCCTGGTGAGCTCCTGGATCTCCAGCTTGGTGTTCCTCAGGTTGTCCCCGTGGCGCCCGGCCGTGCTCTGCAGCTGCTCGTACTGGGGGGGCACCGGGGACAGGAGGGGACCCATCAGGGGACACGGCCCCCCCCGGTGCCACCACGGGGGGTTTTGGCACCGGTTTCGTGGCTCAAGGGGTGCCACGAGGACCCACCACGGGAGGGACGCCCAGGTGGGGGTCACAGGGGGCGCTGGGACCCCAAAAATCAGGGTTTGGAGGTCTGAAATGGGTCTTGATCCCACGGGGGAGGGGTGGGATAAAAGCCTTGGCCGGGTGGGTTTGGGCTCCTGGAGGGTGGGGGGACCCTTGGGAAATCATCACCTGAGTCCCTCAAGGGTGGGAGAACCCTTGGCCAACCACTGAGTCCCTCTGGGTTGGGAGAATCCTTGGAAAATCATTCCCTAAGTCCATCAGGGGTGGGATAACCATTGGGAAATCATCACCTGAGTCCCTCAAGGGACCCTTGGCCACCTCTTTGAGTCCATGAGTGTTGGGATAACCCTTGGTCAACCACCAAGTCACCCTCAAGGGTGGAGAATCCTTGGGAAATCATCACCTGAGTCCCTCTGGGTTGGGAGAATCCTTGGAAAATCATTCCCTAAGTCCATGAGTGTTGGGATAACCCTTGGTCAACCACCAAGTCACCCTCAAGGGTGGAGAATCCTTGGCTAGGCATGGCTTGAGTTCCTCAAGAGTGGGGAAAACCCTTGGAAAATCATCACCTGAGTCCCTCAGGGATGGGAGAACCCTTGGAAAATCATTCCCTAAGTCCATCAGGGGTGGGATAACCCTTGGAAAATCATTCCCTAAGTCCATCAGTGTTGGGACAACCATTGGGAAATCATCAACTGAGTCCCTCAAGGGACCCTTGGCCACCTGAGTCCCTCAGGGTTGGGATAACCCTTGGAAAATCATCACCTGAGTCCCTCAGGGGTGGGATAACCCCTGGGCCAACCTTGAGTCCCCCTCACAGGTGGACAACCAGCCACACTGCCGAGCCCCTCCTGCCTCCCGAGAAGCGAAGCTGGGCTGGACTTTTCCCCCCCTTAAGATGCCTTTTTTTTTAGGGGGGGCCCCCATTTTTCCCAAGATCCCATTCAGGGGGGGGACCACTCAGATCCCTCAAGAACCCCCCCAACCCCGATCCGTCCTTGGCACCACGAGCACCACGAGCATCCCCATCGGGGCCGCCCGGCTGTAAATTAGGACCAGCTGATGGTAAATCGTTCCCATTTACCCACCCCGGAGGGAGGGGGGGGGGTCCTGGGGTGGTGCCAAACCCACCTGGCTCTGGTACCAGGCCTCGGCCTCGGCCCGGCTGCTCTGGGCGATCTGCTCATACTGGCGCCGGACCTCCTCGATGATGCTGTCCAGGTCCAGGTGCCGGTTGTTGTCCATGGACACCACCACGGACAGGTCCCGGCTGATGCTCTGCATCTGGGACAGCTCCTGGGGGCAGCCCGGGGATCAGAGGGGACAGGGAAGAGCAGCAGCAGCAGCTCCACCCCCAAACCCGCAAGGACTCCACACCCTCACCAAAACATCGCCCCGGGGGGAGGGAGGGCTCCTACCTCCTCGTAGATGCACCTCAGGAAGTTGATCTCGTCGGTCAGAGCTCCCACCTTGGCCTCCAGCTCCACTTTGGTCATGTAGGCAGAGTCCACGTCCTGAGGGAGAGATTAAAAAAAAAAATTAAAAAATTAAAAAAAAAAAAAACAAACCCAAAGCCCGGTGGTGTTTTCCCCTCGGGAATCCTTCGGGATTTCCCCTGGGGAATCCTTCGGGGTCGGGGTGTTATTCCCAAAGGGGGTGGCTGTGTGTGACTCTGCAGCTCGTGTTTATAGAAATGTGTGGAATTGAAAATAAACAACATTATCTGAAGCTCTGTAAATAGAGATGTGATTTAGTGTGGATAATATCCTTGTAATTGTGTATTTTTTGTTATATATATATACACATAATATATGGATATATATAATATATAATTTATAGGTATATATGTATATATATGTGTATAATATATATATACATAATATATGGTACATATGTTAAAATATATAATATGTCATATAATAAATGTGTTGTAAATGTGTAACACACAAGTAATTGTAATTATGTGTGTGTAAATAACTGAATTTGGGAATATTGCCAATAATTCTCTGATTCCAAATATTGGAATATTCCCCCTAAGCAGGTAATGTTGCCTGTGATTCTATAAATATATATATATATAGAATAAATATATATATATATATAGAATATATATATATGTAGAATATAAATATATAGAGAATATAAATATATCTAGAATATAAATATAGAGAGAATAAATATATAGAGAATATAAATATAAATATATATTTTTCTGTAAATATATAAATATACATGAATATATACTCTATAAATATATATATAAATATAGAGAAAAATAGTTGAAAATAGGTAGTATTGTTATAGCTGATTCTATAAATACATATATAAATAGTTATATAAATATATATATATATATTATATAAATATAAAGGAAATAGCATCATTTGGGTGTCATTCCATTATGTGAACTCAAAGCGAGGGGTTTCGGTTCCCAGTCCACAAACAGACCCCGAATCCTCCACGGATTTCCCCCCCTCCCCGAACTCGGGAGGGCTCGTTCCCCGCCCCACCTTCTTCAGCACCACGAACTCGTTCTCGGCCGTCGTGCGCCGGTTGATCTCCTCCTCGTACCTGAGGGGAAGGGAAAAAAAAACAAACACCCCAAAATCAAACCTTTGGGGCTGAAAAACCCCCCCTAAAAAAAAAAAAAAAAAAACGGGAGTTTTGGTGTTTTTTTTTTTTAATTTGAGGCGGGGGGGGGCACTCACTTGCTCTTGAAGTCCTCGACGTACTGCTGCATGTTCTGCAGCTCCGACTCCAGCTGCCCCCGCTGGGCCAGGATGGAGTCCAGCTGCCTCCTCAGGTTCTGGATGTAGCTCTCAAAGATCACCGTCAGGTCCTTCCTGGGCCCCGACGGCCCCTGCTGCTGCAGCAGCTCCCACTTGGTGGACAGGACCTTGTTCT